AGGTGTGAACCACCGTGTCTGGCCTCATCTCTCACTTTCTAAAGCTTCTGGGGCTAGAGATTTTGCAATGATTTCTACAATTATTTATTGCCTCCTATCCAGTGCCATTCTACCATAAACAATCTGAACTCCACGAAAACTAGAAAAATCTTAACCTGAATATGAAGATGATGTCTTCATTTTATTTTTATTTACTTTTAGTTGACACATAATAATTAACACTTATGAGATGCAGACAGATATTTTGATACATATACAATGTGTAAAGATCAGGGTAATGGCATATTATCACCATAAATATTTAACATTTCTTTCTGTTAGAAACATTCAAAATCTTCTTCTAGCTATTTGAAAATATAAAATAAATTATTAACCATAGTCACCCTACAGTACTATAGAATCCAGAACATATTCCTTGTATCTAGCTATAATTTTAAACCGATTAACCAACCTGTCTCTATCCTCCCTCCCTACTACGTTTCTTAGCCACTAATAGACATAATTCTACTCTCTACCCCTATCCACTCAACTTTTTGGCAACCACATATAAATGACAATGTGGTATTTATCTATCTGTGCCTGACTTATGTCACTTAACATAATGTCCTCCAGGCTCATTTACGTTGTTGTGAATGACAGGATTTCATTCTTTTTTAATGGCTGAATAGTATTCCATTCTGTATGTATACCATATATTCTTGATTAATTCATGTACTGGTAGACACTTAGGTCGATTTCATATCTTGGCTGTTGTGAATTGTGCTACAATAAGCATGAGAGTACAAACACTGCTTCAATGTACTGATTCATTTCCTTTGTATAAATAGTCGTGGGATTGCAGGATCATGTGGTAATTCTATTTTTAGTTTTTTGAGGAAGCTCCATGCTATTTTCCATAGTGGTTATACTAATTGACATTCCCACCAATGTTGTATAAGGGTTCCCTTTATTCAACTTTCTAAATAGCATTGTTTTTTCTTTCTTTTTGATAATAGCCATTCTAATGGGGGTGAGATGATATCAAATTATGGTTTTTATGTGCATTTCAACTTTCTAACTAGCATTGTTTTTTCTTTCTTTTTGATAATAGCCATTCTAATGGGGGTGAGATGATATCAAATTATGGTTTTTATGTGCATTTCAACTTTCTAACTAGCATTGTTTTTTCTTTCTTTTTGATAATAGCCATTCTAATGGGGGTGAGATGATATCAAATTATGGTTTTTATGTGCATTTCCATGATGATTAGTGATGCTGAACATTTTTTTCATATGCTTGTTGGTCATTTGTATGTATTCTTTTGAGAAATATCTATTCAGGTTATTTGTCCATTTTAAAATCAAATTATTTGTTATATTTATTTTGCTGTTGAGTTGAGTTCCTTGTATATATTCTGGATATTAATGCTTTCATGAAATGATTAGTTTGCAAATATTTTCTCCCATTCTTCCACAGGTTATCTCCTCATGCTGTTCATTGTTTCCTTTGCTAACTAGAACTTGTTTTCCCTTGTTATAGTCCCATTTGTCCAGTTTTGTTTTTGTTGCCTGTGCTTTTGAAGTCTTTTCCATAAAATCCTGCCTAGACCAGTATCCTGAAACATTTCCTCTAGGTTTTCTACCAGTATTTTTATAGTTTTGTGTGTTACATTTAAGTCTTTAATCCATTATGGGTAGACTTTTGTCTATAGCAAGAAATAATAGTCTAGTTCCATTCTTCTTCATATAGATATCCAGTTCTACCAGAACCATTTACTGAAGGGTTGATCCTTTCCTCAGTGTATAATCTTGGCACCTTTTTCAAAATTCAGTTGACTAAAAATGAGTGGATTTATTGATAGATTCTCCATTCTGTTTCAGTGGAACATGTGTCTATTTTTATACCAATACCACATTGTTTTGGTTATTATTTCTTGGTAGTATATTTTGAAATCAGGTAGTGTGATGCCTTCAGCTTTGTTCCTTTTGTTCAGTAGTGCTTTGGCTATTCAGGATCTTTTTTGGTTCCATACAGATTTTAGAATTGTATTTTTATTTCTGTAAAGAATGTAATTGGTATTTTGATAGTGATTTCACTGAGTCTGTAGACTGCTATGGGTAGTACAGTCATTTTAACAATATTAATTCTTCCGGTCTATAAAAATGAGATGTCTTTCCATTTTTTGTGTCTTAGTCAATTTCTTTATTCAGTTTTTTATAGTTTTCATTGTGGAAGTTTTTCCATTCATTGGTTAAATTTATTCTTATGTATTTAATTTTCTGCAACTATTGTAAATTGGATTGCTTTCTTAATGTCTATTTCATCTAGTTCTTTATTGAAATATAGAAATGCTACTGATTTTGTATTTTGATTTTGTGTCTTGCAACTTTACTGAATGCATTTATCAGTTCTAATAACTAATAAATGGTTGAGTCTTTAGGTTTTTTTAGATCTTATCTGTATATAAGATCATATTGTCTGCAAAGATGGATAATTTGACTTCCTCTTTTTCAGTTTGGATGCCTTTTATTTTTTTCTCTTGCCTTATTGCTCTGGCTAGGACTTCCAGTACTATGTATTAAGACTATGTAATAAGAATGGGGCATCTTGTTCTGGATCTTAGAGGGAAAGCTTTTATCTTTTCCTTGTTCAGTATGATGTCAGCTGTGGACTTGTCATTTTAGACCTTCAATGTGCTGAAAATGTTCTTTGTATACCTAATTTGTTAAGAATTTTTATCACAAAGGCTGTTGAATTTTATCAAATGCTTTCTCTGCATCTATTGAAATTATCATTTGGTTTTTATCCTTTTATTCAGTTGATGTGATGTATCAAGTTTTTTGACTTGCATGCAATGAACCATCCTTGCATCCCTGGGATAAATGCCACTTGAGTATGGGGTATTATCTTTTTGATGTGTTAGATTTGGTTTGCTAGTATTTTATTAATAATTTTTACAGCATCTATATTCATAAGGGATATTGACCTGTAGTTTTCTTTCTTTTTTTTTTTTTCTGTGTCTTTACCTTGTTTTGGAATCAGGATAATGCTAATGCTGGCCTCATAGAATGAGTTGGGAAGAATGCCCTCCTCTCTATTTTCTTTTAAGAAAGGCTAGAAGAATAATTTGTAGAATAATTTGAGAATAATTGGTTTCAGTTCTTCTTTAAAAGTTTAAATGAATTCAGCAGCCATCCTGTCCTGGGCTTTTCTTTTTTGGGAAATTTTATTATTGATTCAATCTTATTACTCATTATTAGTTTGTTCAGATTTTCTATTTTTACTTGTTTCAGTCTTGATTGGTTTTATGTGTCCAGGAATTTATTCGTTTCCTTTATATTTCCCAATTCTTTGGCATATTGTTATTCATAGAAATCTCTGAATATCCTTTGTATTTTTGTGGCACCAGTTGTAATGTCTCCTTTTTTCCTTTCTGATTTTATTTGGTTTTTCTCACTTTTTTCTTAGTCAACCTAATAGTTTCTTGGTTTTGTTTCTCTTTAAAAAAATACTAACTTTCATTTTGTTGATTTTGTGTGTGTGTGTGTGTGTGTGTGTGTGTGTTTTGTCTCTATTTCATTTACTTCTGCTCTAATCTTTATTATTGCTTTTCTTCTACTAATTTCCGGTTTGTTGTATTCTTGCTTTTCTAGTTCTTCCTTTTCTAGTTCCTTGAGGTGCACCATTAGGTTGTTTGTTTGAAATCTACTTTTTTGATTTATGTGTTTATTGCTATAAAATTTCCCATTAGCACTGCTTTTAGATTTTGGTATATTGTGTTTTTTTATTTGTTTCTATAGATTTTTAAACATTTTCCTCTTAATTTCTTCATTGACCATTGATTGTTGAGGAGCATGTTGTTTAATTTCCATGTATTTGTTCAGTTTTCAAAGCTCCTCTTGTTAATGACTTCTGCTTTTATTCTATTTTGGTCTGAGAAGGTACTTGATATGATTTCAATATTTTAAAATTTGTGGAGACTTGTTTGGCAGCCTACCACATGGTCTATCATGGAGAATGTTCCATGTGCCACTGAGAAGAACATGTGTTCTGTAGCTGTTGGATGAAATGTTCTGTAAATGTCTGTTATGTCCATTTGGTCTATCGTGTGGTTTGTCTGATGCTTCTTGTTTATTTTCTGTCTAGATGATCTGTCCAATGCTGTGAGTAGGGTTTTGAAGTCCCCAACAATTACTGTATTACAATCTCTTTAGCTCTAATAATATTTGCTTTGTATATATAGGTGCTCCATCGGGTTCACAGAATTAGCAATTGTTCTATCCTTTTGCTGAATTGATCTCTTTATCATTGTATAATAATCTTCTTTGTCACCTTTTACCCTTTTTTTTAACTTAAAATCCATTTTGTCTGATATACTATAGCTACTCTTGCTTACTTTTGGTTTCTGTTTACGTGGAATATCATTTTCCATCCTTTCACTTTTAGTCTATACGTGTCTTTACAGGCGAAGTGGGTTTCTTGCAGGCAACATGTAGTTAGGTCTTAAAAAAAAAATCCATTCAGCCAGTCTATATCTTTTAATTGGAGAATTTAAATAGTTTATATTAGAGATTATTGATAGGCAAGGATTTACTTCTGTCATTTTAATTATTTTCTGGTTGTTTGACTTTTCCCAGTTTAGTGACTGGGGAAGGGTCTACTTCCACAATCTCACTCATTGTTGGTAGTCTTCAGTCTTATGGGCTTTTGGCCAGAGATACCAGTTTCTTGCCATGTGAACTTCTCCACAGGGCCGCTCAAGGACATGGCAACTTAGTTTCCTAAGAGCAAGGACTCTAAGAACTAAAAAGAGAGAAGGAGAAAGAGGGAGGCAGGGAGGGAGGGAGGAAGGCAGGGAGGGAGAAAGAGAGACAGAGACAGGGAGAGGGGGAGAGAGAGAGAAAGAGAGAGAGAGAGAGAGAGAGAGAGAACACACGTACAAGAAGTAAACCAGAATTTTTTGATAATCTAATCATGGAAGTGACATCACAATGCTTTTGCCATATTCTATTTAGATCTGAGTCATTGAGTCCAACCTATATCCAAGGAAAAGGGATTATACAAAGGCATGAGTACAAGGAGGGGTGACTGGTAACAATTTTAGAGTCTGCCTAAAAAAAATGTTTTTAAACAAGTATGTGAGTCAAAATAAGTTTTTTATCAGACAACTATTTAAAAAATTTAATATTATATTTTGGAGTTCATGATTCAATTGAATGGTTCATCAAAAAGTGATTAGAGTTAAAAATAACTTCATTATTAAAATATAAAAAACAGCAGAATTAATAATAATGCTAATCTGAAATTGAAAGATTCAACCTGACAAGTGAAACTTAAAACATGCAAATATCTTTCTATTACCTTTCAGAGCAGGTTCTGATTGGTCTCATTCTACAACTGAGGGCACCGAGGATGAGTAGGTAAGGCAACTTGCCCAAGGTCAACAGCAAGCAAATAGAAAAATTGGAACTGTAACATGGAAAATATAACTCCAGAAGCAACACTCTTAACAATTTTGCTGAAATATTAAGATCATTAGCAGAATAAACTTTTCAGTTAATCATAGGTTGCCAGCTCACCTGTGAAGAGATCTCCCTATACCTACTATTGAGGTCACTAGTTGAGAACCAGACAGGATCATTTCTACTTCCATTTTCCTTCAACCCAATGGCACCCAGTTTGCCCTAGCAAATAATTAACCTAAGGGTATATCTCACATGGACACTCCTGATTTATGACACATTTCACCATTGTCCAACCATCCATTTATTCAACCATCCATTCATATATTCATCCATCTATTCAATACTTCCAATTCATCTACACACCTGCCAATACATTCGTCTACCCATTCCCTCATTACTTCAACACTCCTAATTTATCTACACACTCACTCAACCAACCATTAATCTACTCATCCATTCACCCATTATTTTTTATCAAGCATGATTACTCATCTTAACTGTGCTATATCCTAAATCATAATTTCTCAAACTTCAACCATTCATACTCTAGCCTCAATATTTATAGTCATCTCTGCATGCTTTTGTCTTTTCATAATTTTCACATATCTATTTTACTTTAAAAAATATAAATGTATCCTTTGGCTTCTTTCTAATATTTGCAAAATTGAAGGCTTTATATGCAAGTTAATTTTTCTCCAAATATACTTTAAAAGAAATTCATGAGTTCATTTAAAAAAATATTTTATCTACCATGGTTAGCAAACATTGGGATTAAATTTATTCGTGTTCTGAAGTGTTTAGATAGCAGGGAAACAGATGCCCTCACACCTCAACCCACCTTGTCTTTATTTCAAGACCTGCCCCACCTAGTAGGGGGTAGAATCTAGATCCAAAAATCTACTTAAGTCTGAGGCTCCGGTTGGAAGTAAAGGAAGGGATAAAGGGCCATCTGCCTCCCCACCCACCCACCCTCTCGTCTGTCTCTGTGCAATTGACAGGTTTGAAATGAGATTGCTTTCCTAACTACCTGTGGGGCCACCCGTGAGTCAATGTTTCATATTCATTAACTAATGTACAGCTGGAGACAGTAAAACCTTTCAGTGAAGGCTGATTTCAGAGCTTGCTAAGTCAATATCCCTCCTTTGATTGTTCTCCTATCTCATAGCAGCATTTGCTTCCCTCCTAAATATTCACTCCTAGAAGTGGATATTGTAGCCTATGTTGACATTGTCTGATGCCACTTTGCAGCTTCTGAAATATGTATATTTGGACTGTTGGAGAGTATAAAAATAGAGAAAAGGTTGGTCACTCAGATTCATGAAGGGTTTTTTAAAGGCAGCTCAGGAGAAGCTTTTATTTTATTTTTTCCAATCCTACTCCTCTGCTTCCGATCCCTTTCTCTTGGATGCTCTGCTCTGTCTCCTCATTCTTCTCCATTCCTCCCTTCCCCCCTTTGCATTAGTCTGTTCTCACACTGCTAAGAAATACATACCTGAGACTGGGTAGTTTATGAAGGAAAGAGGTTTAACGGACTCACAGTTCAACATGGTTGGGGAGGCCTCACAGTCATGGCGGAAGACTAAGGAAAAGCAAAGGGACATCTTACATGGAGGCAGGCAAAACGGTTTGTGCAGGGGAACTCCTATTTATGAAACTATCAGATCTTGTGAGACTTATTCACTACCATGAGAATAGTATGGGGAAATTGTCCCCATGATTCAGTTATCTTCACCTAGCCTTGCCCTTGACACGTGGTGGTTATTACAATTCAAGATGAGATTTGGGTGGGTAGACAGCCAAACCATATCACCCCTCCTTCCTCCATTTCTTCTATGCCTCCCCATATTATTCCTTATTTTACCATCATCTTTCCTGCCTCCTTTTCTATTCCATCTGTTTAATTTAATAATGATTTCTTAAATGATTTTCCTGTTTATTTCAGGTCTATTAATACTGAGTTAATCCAGTTAAATCTGGATTAACTGCTAGTTAAAAATGACTGGGGGAGAGAATTGCTTAGTTACTGGAGGTTTGAGGAAAATTTTGAGTACCTACTTTTTAGGTTGTTATAGAACATAAAATCATGTTCATAAAGCATGTATTTGGCATATAGAAATTATTTCATAAAAGTTTGTTTTATTTTTCCTTCTCTGACTCTCTTTTCATATTCAGTTAATAGAAGCAATAGTTTCTGATCACTCTTTTTTTCTGAACCATTGCGACAATCAAATTAGGTTATGTTTGGAGGAATATCTTGTTTCTATCTGTCATGTTTGACAGATAGGAAGCTTCATTTTAATCTTTGCTTTTTTTCTCAGAGATTGACTTAGGCACTCTTAATCTTTATCCCTTAGTCATGTGGCTCCATAGAATAATTTTAGTTGGAAAATTGACCATGCTTTGTTTTCCTATGCTTGAGAGAAAGCATTCATTGTATTTAAAGATGTTAGAGCTACTGTTTGCAACTACTAAATATTCTTAGGGTGCCCCCTTCTGTTTCCTGACAGTAACAGTGTAGTTTATTTTTATTTTAGTCTGGGAAGTCTAATGCCGTTATTCTTTGTAGGAGATGTATTAAGGTGGGATAGCGTAGCATCAACTCCGGCTGGCCAGGGAGCCTAAGAACAGGGGATGACCTAAATGGTCTACACAGGGTTGTCAGACCATCACAACAATCATACTGCTCATTATCTCTGGCAAATACCTTAATAGCCTTAGGTTTTTTTCTACAAATTCATAATATCAGCAGGGAAGAATAGTATTAGAACCCTTATTATATGTGAGAAAGCTGAGACAATTTTTTTCCATTTATAGACCCTCCCAAATGAGAATTCCTTGATTACTGAAACCATGGGTAGGTGGACATATTACCCACATTTTTAAGGATCTTTTGATTATAAGCAACTGAAAACAATTAGACTTCACTTGAGCAAAATAAAGGATATTATTACAAACCACAGGGGTTCCTCACAGAACCCAAAGACTGTGGGCCTTGGGCAAACAATGGAAGTTGGCACCATTGTGCCATAAAGACTAATATTCCAATCCCTGCTACTTCTCACTCAGCTTCCCTCTGCCTGGCTGCTTTCTTCTTTTTCTGCTTTAAGTTTTCTCTGGTGCCTCTAATTCTAAGTCTGCATGTCTGAAACCACTGGGGCCCACTCTTTTCATTTCAATGACAAATTCCTGGTAGACAAAATCAGTTTGCCTTCCTTTGAGTTAGGTGTCAGGTCCTGAGCAGATATGGCCAGAGGTACAGGGTGATATGGCAAAAACATGGAGCTTACTCCTCAGATAGTTCCTGGAAAGACTTTCTGGACAGATGAGCCAACAATTGACACCTGAGCTACCTGAACAACTGCCTGTGAAAGCATATTTCTTCTGTGCTTTGAGGAAGAGCTTGTGAAGCTGACAGCCCTGCTGCTCCATTCCAGGCTAGCTCTTGAAAAGGTAATGCTTTGATGGGTGGGGCCACTTAGGAGGGGACCAGAAACAGGGGCAATTTTCATAGGCAGCAGCTACTGACTCATCTGTAGTTCCAGTATACCTGGACACATAGTCCTAGAACCATCAGGAGAATAACAAACAGGCTCTTATTCAAGTCTGGGAGGTTGTCGAAGGATTACTGACAACTTAAATAGAGCTATTTCTGTGGGTTTATCGTTTTTCCCTAATGGTAACATATTATTATTTTATTACAAAAGCAATGCATATTTTCACTTTTCTCAAATCCTATGAAAAAGCTACACAAGTAATTGAAGCCCTTCCTAATTTCTATCCCATTGCAAGAGACAGCAACCAAATACTTACAGGTATATCATTCCAAAATAATTTCCCTTGAGTATACCAAATTATAAGTTGGAATTTACCATGAATTTGTGGTATAAAACCTAAGGTGCATGAAATATCACATTCCTTTATTTTTCTAACCAAATTTGGCCACTTGTCAGGGTTGATACAAGATCTGGTCTTGGGCATTTTGATGTCATTCCTTGGAGGAGATGGGGGGTAGGTGGGAAGGTGATAAGTTGGAGAAGTTTTATTTTTTCTTTTTTTTTAAAAAACAAAAAACAAAAAACAAAAAACAGGGTATCATTCTGTTACCAAGGTTGGAATGCGGTGGTGTGATTAGAGCTCACTGCAGTCTCCATCTCCCGGGCTCAAGTGATTCTCCTGCCTCAGCCTCCTGAGTATCTGGGACTATGGGCACATGCCACCATGTGTAGTTAATATATTATTATTATTATTATTATTATTTAGTGTTTTGTAGAGAAGAGGACTCACTTTGTTGCCCAAGCAGGTCTTGAACTCCTGGCCTCAAGTGTCCCTCCCCTCTTGGCTTCCGAAAGTGTTGGGATTACAGGTGCGAACCACTACACCCAGCCGAGACTTTCTTTTTCTACCCTGAAATCATACAAAAATGTTTGGATTTATTTTGTCCAGGAGAAAGGAGAAGCATGTCTGTTTCCATCAGTGTACCTCTCTTTGTCGTGTCATCTTGAGCTCCGCCTTTTATACCAAGCTTTGGGATGAGGCTCCTGAGGACTTCAAGTTCCATGATCCAGAACCAGTCTCCTTGGGACATATATTCCTGCAGCTTTCCTCTTTCAGGATTTCGTAACACGTGGATGGTTCAGAGGGGTGGGCTGCAGGTCCCTACCATTCAACACCCAATTCTCCCAAACTCTGGAGAACTGACTTTCTTCCTCAAATAAAGTCATTCCATATATCCATGCAAACCATTGTGACCACTATGCTCTTTGGATGATAACTCACACTTGCCCATAAGGCCTCTTGAAGGAATAAGCTTTTTAATGAATTATAAAACCAGGTAATTGAACTACATAATCTAGCTCTACTCTAAGTAAACTCACTTCTCTATATTATGGGCATTTAATAATTTGTCATTTTTTGAATGCCCTGAGCAGCATATAAACAATTACTTAAATGTATAGTTTTGTGTTAATTATATTTATCTTAACCGTTTCTGAAACTCCCCTATGATCCAGACACTATATTAAGTTCTTAACTTTCATTTACTAATGAAGAACACTGAACTTTGGTAATTGGCCAAGGTTATAGAGCTGTGCTGCCCGACATAAATACAATGTGAGTCACACAGGTAATTTTAAATTTATTTTATTTTTATCTTTTTGAGACAGGGTTTCACTCTGTCACCCAGGCTGGAGTGCATTGGTACAATCTTGGCTCACTGAAATTTCTGTTTCCCAGGCTCAAGTGATCTTCCCACCTCAGCCCCCAAAGTAGCTGGGAACACAGGTGCATGCCACTACGCCCGTCTCACTTTTTAATTTTTTGTAAAGATGAGTTTCTCCACGTTGCCCCAGGCTGGTCTCAAACTCCTGAGCTCACAAATTTCCCCAACTTCTGCCTCCCAAAGTACTGGGATTACAGGCATGAACCACCGTGCCTGGACATTTTTTAATTTTTTTTTTTTTTTTGAGACTGAGTTTTTCTCTTGTTGCCTAGGCTTGAGCACAGTGGCACAATCTCAACTCACTTCAACCTCTGCCTCCCAGGTTCAAGCAATTCTCCTGCCTCAGGAAGAGAAATACTCTTCCTGAGTAGCTGGGATTACAGGCATGTGCCACCACGCCCGGCTAATCTTTTATTTTTAATAGAGATGGGGTTTCTCCATGTTGGTCAGGCTGGTCTTGAACTCTCGACCTCAGATGATCCACCTGCCTCAGCCTCCCAAAGTGTTGGGATTACAGGCATGAGCCACCATGCCCAGCCAATTTTAAATCTTTTAGAGCCACATTAAAAAGCATTTTTAAGGGGGCGGTTACAAGATGGCCAAATAGGAACAGCTCCAGCCTTCAGCTCCCAGCGTAAGCAACACAGAAGATGGGTGATTTCTGCATTTCCAACTGAGTTACTGGGTTAATCTCACTGGGGCGTGTCGGACAGTGGGTGCAAGAGAGTGGCTGCAGCCCACTGAGCGAGAGTCAAAGCAGGGCAAGGCATCGCCTCACCCGGGAAGAGCAAGGGGGAAGGGAAATCCCTTTCCTAGCCAGGGGAAGCAGTGACACACAACACCTGGAAAATTGGGTCACTCCCACCCTAATACTGCACTTTACAAAGAGTCTTAGCAAACAGCACACCAGGAGATTATATCCCGTGCCTGGCTCAGAGGGTCCCATGCCCACCAAGCCTCCCTCATTGCTGGCACAGCAGTCTGAGATCTAATTGCAAGGCAGCTGGGGGAGGGGCGCCCGCCATTGCTGAGGCTTGAGTAGGTAAACAAAGCAGCCAGGAAGCTCAGACTGGGTGGAGCCCACCACAGATCAAGGAGGCCTGCCTGCCTCTGTAGACTCCACTTCTGGGGACAGGGCATAGCCAAACAAAAGGCAGCAGAAACCTCTGCAGACTTAAATGTCCCTATCTGACAGCTTTGAAGAGAGTAGCGGTTCTCCCAGCACAGAGTTTGAGATCTGAGAATGGATAGACAGCCTCCTCAAGTGGGTCCCTGACCCCCAAGTAGCATAACTGGGAGGCACCCATGCAGTAGGGGCAGACTGACACCCCACACAGCGAGGTACCCCTCTGAGATGAAGCTTCCAGGGGAAAAATCAGGCAGCAACATTTGCTGTTCAGCAATATTTGCTGTTCTGCAGACTGCGCTGGTGATACCCAGGCAAACAGGGTCTGGAGTGGACCAACAGCAAACTCCAACTGACCTGCAGCTGAGAGTCCTGACTATTAGAAGGAAGACTAACAAACAGAAAGGACACCCACACCAAAACCACATCTGTAGGACACTATCATCAAAGACCAAAAGTAGATAAAACCACAAAGATGGGGAAAAAACAGAGCAGAAAAGCTGAAAACTCTAAAAATGAGAGCGCCTCTCCCCCTCCAAAGAAACATAGTTCCTCGCCAGCAATGGAACAAAGTGGAACAGAGAATTACTTTGACGAGTTGAGAGAAGAAGGCTTCAGATGATCAAAATTCTCCGAGCTAAAGGAGGAAGTTCGAACCCATTGCAAGGAAGCTAAAACCCTTGAAAAAAGATTAGACGAATGGCTAACTAGAATAAAGAGTGTAGAGAAGTCCTTAAATGACCTGATGGAGCTGAAAACCATGGTACGAGAACTACGTGATGAATGAACAAGCTTCAGTAGCCGATTCGATCAACTGGAAGAAAGGGTATCAGTGATTGAAGATCAAATGAATGAAATGAAGTGAGAAGAGAAGTTTAGAGAAAAAAAGAGTAAAAAGAAATGAACAAGGCCTACAAGAAATATGGGACTATGTGAAAAGACCAAATCTACATCTGATTGGTGTACCTGACAGTGACGGGGAGAATGGAACCAAGTTGGAAAACACTCTGCAGGATATTATCCAGGAGAACTTCCCCAACCTAGCAAGGCAGGCCAACATTCGAATTCAGGAAATACAGAAAATGCCACAAAGATACTCTTCGAGAAGAGCAACTCCAAGACATATAATTGCCAGATTCACCAAAGTTGAAATGAAGGAAAAAATCTTAAGGGCAGCCAGAGAGAAAGGTCGGGTTACCCACAAAGGGAAGCCCATCAGACTAACAGTAGACTTCTCAGCAGAAACTCTACAAGCCAGAAGAGAGTGGAGGCCAATATTCAACATTCTTAAAGAAAAGAATTTTCAACCCAGAATTTCATATCCAGCCAAACTGAGTTTCATAAGTGAAGGAGAAATAAAATCCTTTACAGACAAGCAAATGCTGAGAGATTTTGTCACCCCAGGCCTGCCCTACAAGAGCTCCTGAAGGAAGCCCTAAAGATGCAAAGGAACAACCAGTACCAGCCACTAAAAAAACATGCCAAAATGTAAAGACCATCGATACTAGGAAGAAACCGCATCAACTAACAAGCAAAATAACCAGCTAACATCATAATGACAGGATCAAGTTCACACATAACAATATTAACCTTAAATGTAAATGGACTAAATGATCCAATTAAAAGACACAGACTGACAAATTGGATAAAGAGTCAAGACCCATCAGTGTGCTGTATTCAGGAGACCCATCTCAGGTGCAGAGATATACATAGGCTCAAAATAAAGGGATGGAGGAAGATCTACTAAGCAAATGGAAAACAAAAAAAGGCAGGGGTTGCAATCCTAGTCTCTGATAAAACAGACTTTAAACCAACAAAGATCAAAAGAGACAAAGAAGACCATTACATAATGTTAAAGGGGTCAATTCAACAAGAAAAGCTGACTATCCTAAATATGTATGTACCCAATACAGGAGCACCCAGATTCATAAATCAAGTCCTTAGAGACTTACAAAGAGACTTACATTCCCACACGAGAATAATGGGAGACTTTAACACCCCACTGTCAACATCAGACAGATCAATGAGACAGAAAGTTAACAAGGATACCCAGGAATTGAACTCAACTCTGCACCAAGCAGACCTAATAGACATCTACAGAACTCTCCACCCCAAATCAATAGAATATACATTCTTCTCAGCACCACATCGCACTTATTCCAAAACTGACCACATAGTTGGAAGTAAAGCACTCCTCAGCAAATGTACAAGAACATAAATTATAACCAACTGTCTCTCAGACCACAGTGCAATCAAACTAGGACTCAGGATTAAGAAACCCACTCAAAACCACTCAACCACATGGAAACTGAACAACCTGCTCCTGAATGACTACGGGGTACATAATGAAATGAAGGCAGAAATAACGATGTTCTTTGAAACCAATAAGAACAAAGACACAACATAGCAGAATCTCTGGGACACATTTAAAGCAGTGTGTAGAGGGAAATTTATAGCACTAAATGCCCACAAGAGAAAGCAGGAAACATCTAAAATTGACACCCTAATATCACAATTAAAAGAACTAGAGAAGCAAGAGTAAACACATTCAAAAGCCAGTGGAAGGCAAGAATAACTAAGATCAAAGCAGAACTGAAGGAGATAGAGACACAAAAATCCCTTCAATTAATCAATGAATCCAGGAGCTGTTGTTTTGAAAAGATCAACAAAATTGATAGACTGCTAGCCAGAGTAATAAAGAAGAAAAGGGAGAAGAATCAAATAGACGCAATAAAAAATGATAAAGGGGATATCACCACCAATTCCACTGAAATACAAACTACCATCAGAGAATACTATAAACACCTTCATGCAAATAAACTAGAAAACCTAGAAGAAATGGATAAATTCCTGGACACATACACTCTCCCAAGATTAAACCAGGAAGAAGTTGAATCCCTGAATAGACCAATAGCAGGCTCTGAAATGGAGGCAGTAATTAATAGCCCACCAACCAAAAAAAGTCCAGGACCAGACGGATTCACAGCCAAATTCTACCAGAGGTACAAGGAGAAGCTGGTACCATTCCTTCTGAAACTATTCCAATCAATAGAAAAAGAGGGAATCCTCCCTAACTCATTTTATGAGGCCAGTATCATCCTGATATCAAAGCCTGGCAGATACACAACAAAAAAAGAGAATTTTAGACCAATATCCCTGATGAACATCAATGCAAAAATCCTCAATAAAATACTGGCAAATCGAATCCAGCAGGACATCAAAAAGCTTATCCGTCATGATCAAGTAGGCTTCATCCGTGGGATGCAAGGCTGGTTCAATACACACAAATCAATAAACACAAGAAACAATATTCACAAATCCAGCTTATAAACAGAACCAAAGACAAAAACCACATGATTATCTCAGTAGATGCAGAAAAGGCCTTTGACAAAATT